CTCCAATGATCAGTGTTCTTTTGCCTGGAACACGGAGTGGTGGAACGACTGCCTGTCGATTTGACCACCCGGATCAGCATTCTAATGGTCCAATGAGCTCCCTGAGAATGCGAATGCACTCCCTCAACATCCACCCTGAGGTCAATGGCCCGAACAACTGGATGATTGAGACGAGCTGGACTCAGATGACGAAAGCTGAGCGACTGTTCCTCACCAAAGGAAACTGGCATGTGGAATGGCGGAATCCCCACTATGCCAAGGAGAATGCCTTGCATCTGTCCAATGGGCAAGCCTTCGAGGAGAGTGAGAATGAGAATGAAGAGCCGATTGCTTTCGTGGTGTTTCGCCGCACCAAATGTGCAGCAATGAGGCGATGGGTCGCTGGAAGACCCGGTGGCAATGCCCGAATGAAGCTGGAGAATTACTTTAACCGCCAGTTCACTGACCATATCAGCACCTTCGAGTGGGAGGGAAAATGTCCAAATGACTGGAAGTGGACAATGGAGGCACTGTCCCAAGCGAGTGCCGGAATTGTCCGTGTGCCAATGACGGACCCAATGTGTGTGCGCAGCCCCAAAACTGCTACTGTCACTGGATGAGATCATCGAATGGGGAATGCTCGCCACCACTCGAGGCGACTCCCTTGTGGAATGGAGGCTGATGGGACGCACAATGATCCCACTGTGCCAATGCATGGGTGCAGGATTGGATCACGATTGTTCCACATGGGACGAGATCTAGAGAATGAGGAGACTGTCGCAGCCAATGCTTGGAATGCTCCCAAGGCCAAGGCGAATGAACAGGCCTCTGGGATTGTACTTGCGCAGACTGCAATGCCCTCGGCCCTCGACCCAGGCTCCGAGATTGTCCTGCGCAAGAATGCGAAGGGCACAATGCACTGAGCAGCCGATCTAATTTAGGAGTGCCTCGTGACTGCGATTGTTTTGCAAATTTGAAGTTCTTGCTGAAATGTTGAACGGATTTCTTCCGCGGATCTGTGTACAGTGCAAGCCGGCCTCCGAATGCCGTTTTTTCTCACGACTCGAATGTCATCCCGAGTCGAGCCAAAATCCGGAATGACACCAATGATCCTTTCGCTGCTTTGATTGCTGATTGTTCTGAAGTTCGAACTGGTTCTAACTGTTTTGATCGCTTCGCGAATGCCACCACCAATGCTCGTTTGTTTGTTTTGGAATGATCTTCGACTGAAGTCAAGATCAAGGGACTGTGTTAAATGACACGAATGTGCACCTTAAATGTTCCTGATGCATTAGAGAATGCTACGATGCCGAATGGCATTGGCTCAAGACTGGACCAAAGCTTGATGTCACAAAGGAATGTCTGCTTGAGTGTGACTGGGGAAAGTGATTGATCTTGGTTACCCATTAGGATTGATTTGTACTGTTGAATGTTTCACTCTCCTTCTCTCTCTCTCTGCGAATCCCAGCCTTGCGGCTTAAGTCATTCGCGCGCTGAGACTTTCATCCTCGCGCACACTAGCCGCCGAAAAGAGGACCTTCCGCTTGGGCTTGGAGGGTGCCATGCACATGCTACTGTGCCGCAAGGAAGCATGCATGCATGAATGTGCATCTCGCACGCTCGTGCGTCTGCGCTTGTGTGTGTGTGTGGTTGTCGCAGCGTGTGTAGGGGTGAGGGTGTGTGGGGTGAGCTTTGCAAAATTCTGAGGAGAACGCAAGGGCGTTTTCAGCCAAGCGTCTCACCGCAGGAGCTTCCACGAACGAAACTGCCTCCGACTCCTCAGGACAAGGTCCGGGGCTTGACACTCCCACAGCCAAAGCCGCTCGAATGCAGCTGGCCCAAGGTAGCAGAGCTGCTGGCTCCAGGTATCGAGGAGGGAGTGACTCTGGGGAGTGATTCTGAGAGTTTTGGTTGGTTGGTTGGTGTGTGTGTGTGTGTGTGTGCTCTGGTGTGCCGGAACCACAGCTTCAGGAGCCGAGGCATGTAAAAACACGGATACGGCCCCAGATCAGCACCTTCGAGGACACGGCAGTCGGCAGCACGATACAAGTCTTACTACTGCACATGTCCGGCATGTCCGGCTTCAGGAAGCTTATCCTGGCCTGATTCCGGGCCGGGAAAGCGGGGGCTTGAGGGCCCTGCAGGCCCAGGTCACCCAAGGTGCGAAGAAGGACAACGGCGTCCCCGCTGGCCCGCTGGTTGTCGGTTTGAAAACAGGCCGACGAAGCACAAGGCCGGCAGAGGTGGGATGCTTTGGCTGAAGACTGCGGCATCCGTACTTCCTTGCTTGTGCCCTAAAGCCCTTGTGCCTTCTCCTGCCTTTCCGCAGCTGTCTCCCAAAATCTGCGTCCATGGGGCGAAAGAAGCAGCGGCGTTGGGTGCCCTCGGTGCTGTGGCTCCTGGGACTGGCGCTGGCCGCGCTGGCCGCGCTCTGCGTCGGAGGCGGCTCAAAGCGAGAAGCGGGCGCAGCCGTCAGAGCCTTCGCCGAAGCAAACAGTGCCTTCGCCTCTCTCGGCTTTGGGGGCCGGCGCCCCCGGGGAGTGGGAGTCCGCTTCAACGACGGCGACAAGGACGGGAAGAGGAATTTGGCCAAGCGGCTGGGGCTAAGTCCGGGTTTGCCACAAGCAGACTGACGACCAACATGACCCTGTAAACACAGGAGCTGTTTGCGACACAGGCACAGCCCTTGGAGATTTCCGACTACGATGCGCTGCCCAGGACAGTCTCGCTTTTCAGGGGAACAAGGCGGCGAGGCAGAGATGGCAGAGGCAGGCCCAGATTCCCACTCCTGCGAGGAAGTTCGACCGTGGAATTCTCCTGGACTTCTTCAGCTCGAGGCCGGCCGAGATCGCCTGGCGCTGGTCGGAGAGACTCGGCTGAAGCTGTTCGCTGTTCATTTTTTTGGGCATACGTGGTTCCACGTGGGATGGCGCTTTTTGGGAGGATCTTGGGTGAGCTCTGGCCGGCCTGGAATTTGTGGCATTCGGAGGAGTCGTTGCCAGCTGGCGAACGAACACGTGGCGCCGTTCTGCGGGCCGCCTTGTCGAAGCTGGGCCCCATCTTCGTCAAGATTGGCCAGCCTCTTGCCGTTCCCCCCATCTTTCGCGATGCGCAGTTGGCGCAGTTGCAGAATATATTGCAAGCACACGGTGCGCGCGCGCACGGATCTTAGGACACTGTCGGAGAGACCTGACCTCATCGGCCACAGCCTTAATGTAGTCCTCTCGAGTCGTCGGAGACTGGACCTCGCAGGTGACGAAGCCTGCGAAGAGCTGAAGCTGCTGCAGCAGGCCCTCACCTGTATCAAGCTAAGCGCTCGCAGAGCCTTCTTGCGCCAGGAGAACGAGCCCTTCAGTACAGACATGGCTTTCGCCATGATCTTGGAGGATTTGGGGCACAAAGGGCCCCTGTCACCTGGTGGATACACGAGCAAAGACGGGGATCCCACAGCTGCTGGCCTGCGTTTCGCACTAGCACAGGGCAGAAGTGCATTCACATATGTGATGCTCTCGCGTTCTTCCCAGGCGGCACCGCTGCTGGCTGAGGCGAGACTGACTGACGCGTGACATGTGACTGGATGTGACTGCAGCGTCGAAGCGGTGTGACCGGGTCATTCTCTTCTCGCACGCCGCACGCTCCGTTCAGATCTCCCCGGAGCCGGTGGCTGCAGCTTCACTTGGCCAAGTCTACTATGCCAAGACACTGGATGGTCGTGAGGTTGCCATCAAAGCAGCTTGGTGCTTTCACCGCGTGGTCTAGCGGCGGCCTAGCGGTGGTCTGTGGCCTCTTCTCATGTGGCGCTGCCCTTCGCCCAGGTACAGCGGCCAGGAAGCTTGCGCCAGGCGAAGCCCACAGTGAGAGAGCTCAAATCGCCCCCAGCTTTCCTGCTCTCCGTAGGCTCCGGACCGGAGGCTCTCCGGTTGCCCGTGTAGGTCGCCCTGGATTGGACGTGTTGGGCTTTGGGTTTGATGGTGATGGACTTCTACTGGGGCGGTCAAGGCGACGAGTATCCCAAGGCAAGGCGGCAAAGCACGAAGTAACGCAGCGCAACAACATGTGATGCTGTGTGCGTGTCCAGCGCAGATTGCGGACGAAGTTGCGCAAGGTGTCTTCAAAGCAGCTTGTGCAGATGAATGGGTTTATGTGCACATATGTGTGCATCTTCTGTTTGCTGGGCTCTGTCCCTGTGCTCGTCGGTTCATCGTCTTCTGAAATTCCGCCGGTTTTCATTTCAGCAGACTTGAACTCAGGGGGCCTAAGGAGTTGGACTATCACAACGAAGCCCGAAATGCCGCGATCTTCCTGAAGAAACACAAATTCCTGCCTTTCGTCACTGCTCCAGAATGGGTGCCCGAGCTCACCGGGCCCGAGGGGACAGCCAGGGTCCTGACACTCTCTTGGATCCACGGACGCAAGCTGCAAGAGATCGAATCAAAGGAGGAGAGAATGCAGATGGTGGACATGGCAGTGGAGGCTTGTGTCTCGTCTTTGGTCTTCACCGGTTTCGTCCACGCAGATCCGCATGCCGTGCCCTCGACTGCAACATGATCTGCAAGGGTTTTAGCAAGATCTGAGAGACCGAGAGCTGAGCGAAAGCTCAGGGCAACATGCTGCTGACGGAGGACGGTCGTCTGGCTTTCCTGGATTTCGGCCTCATGGGAACGGTGGAGCCCCGCATCATGGATGCTCGGATGCGACCGAGCGTGACAGACATCTTGCCACGCTCTTTGTGCCTCAAAGCTCTCAGAGCTCTCTCTCTCCTCTGGCTTTCTCCTCTCCTCTCTCCTCAATCCTGAAGCTCTCAAAGTTTTTGCAGCCCCTCTTCTGCAACACCCTTTTTCCTGGTCCTCTAGCCGCTCTAGCCTCTAGGAGGGCTTCGCGGCGGGGATCCAGCACCTCCTGGCGGAGCGCTGGCTGCCACTGGCGAAAGTCATGCAAGGTGCCGGTCGCGAATCCTCCTGTCCTCCTCCTCCTCCTTCCCCGAAAGAACTCTACTCTCTTTGGATCTTCCTCTCCGACACGGCCTGCTGCTCTCAGACGTGGGCTTCATGGCCGTGGGCAAGGAAGGCGGTTTCAAGAAGGTCGTCGATCCTTCTGCCCGGGCCGGGCCACTGCATGACTCCATGACTCGGCGAGCGTAAGGCCGTAAGGTCATGCGCGGTCTGCTCTGGTCAGGTCTTCGAGTACACGAGTTGCCCCGACGAGGAGTTTGCGGCGGCGCTCGAAGCGCAGATGAAAGCGGAGGAAGGCGGCCTCAGCCGCTTCGGCGCTCTCGCAGGAGCCCTCACAAAGCTTTCAGACAGATATCACATGACCATGCCAGGCCAGGCACGCCTAGTCTTCTGTACAGGCATTCGAGCAGTGCCGCACTGTGCCTGCCGGGAGGCTACATCATCCTCTTTATCCGCACATTTTTGACTTTGGAAGGGATCGCCGGGGTGGTGTGGCTTGGCTTCGATTGAGCCATGCAAAGCAGCCTGGACCCAAGATGCTTGCGAGCATGCTCGGCCCAGGAAGCCAGACTTCAATATCTATGAAGCATCCCTGCCATACGCACTACAGCGGGCGCTTTCACCGAAGACGGAGGCAGGTAGGTGGCTGTGAAGGTGGGGCGGGTGGGCAGGCAGGATCAGAGGCAGCGGCAGAGGCAGAGCCGGCAGGGCGCGCACGCGTGTGTGTGTGTGTCATCCTTGTAACAACGGGCTAGTGCAGTCAAATTTGTGCTTGCGTTTGCTTACTGGTGGGATGAGCAAGGGCACGCGGCACTCATGTCCACCACAGGGCATTCAGTCACAGCGACTTGTATTGGAGCTATGTCCACCACATGCAACGAAGCTGTGGACATGAGTGGGAAGCGAGAGTTGATCACTCTCGTGTGCTTGCCAAGAGTTGCTCATGTGTCACATTTGTGGCAGCTTGGGGACTCAAAATTTCCTTTGAACGAGTTGCTGACATTGACAGTCTTGGATGATCGAGTGTGCATTTCAAGCTTTCTGTTGCAGTTGCAGTCATGTTCATTAGGTAGCGACAATGAGTCCTGAGACCTGTAGACTAGAGATTGGCAAAAGGCAGCAAATCACAACAGCGATACAAAGCGAACAAGAGCCACATCGCCGACGACATCTCACATCACGAGGTCTGGTGCAGGTATGGATTCAGCATGGCCTTCCCTCTGAGCGCCAGCTGAGTGAAGGGTGACCTCCATCATCCTGACTTTATGGTGACTCAACCGAAACATTTGACGTTCCTGACTGTCCCTGGTTAAACCTCAGGAAGTGAAATTTGACGTTTACACGTGACCCTACAAGTGAAGTTACTCCACCTGTGGCAGCCGCGGTCAAACCATCTTTTCGCCCACCGGTGCTTGATCAAGCATGCACCAGGCTACAAAAGTTGGCCCAGCCAGATTGTTCCGGTTTCAAAGTTTCGAGGCCAGCAAAACCATCAGGTCTCAGAAGTTCGGACTTCGAATGCTACGCGCTTTGGAGACTTTGGAGGATGGCTCGCAGCATGGAACGAATGGTGCAGCAATTTTCGGTCTAACAGGCGCTGTGGAATGAGTTTGATGCTGTAGACGCTTGGCTGCAAGACTTGTGAACTCATTCAGTCTGCTTTGCAGTTTTGTTGAGAGGTTGAATCAGACGGAAGGCCAGGCATGACAGCAAACAGCATCAAGCCATAGCACTAGCGTGAAAAAGTTCGTCAAGTTGACGAGTTGTTTCACGCTTTTCAGGCGCCCCGACACCTTTATGTCACCACAACCATAGAACATAGCGAAGCTGGCGTCGTGTCGGCCCATTTGGCATTGTCGCCAGTTGCAGAAATCGTGCTCCAAGTCTTCTGGCTTGATCATCTTTGACTCCTGAAACCACGATCGAAGCCCCTCCGTTAAGTAGTCACATGCCATCAACTTGCGAACATCTTCACATACCCTTTGATACTCCTCCCGACTTTCAGGCTCACTGCTTCGTGACACTGTCCCGGCAGATTGCATAAACATCGACTCACGCACTGGAGGGTTTGGAGTTCTTAGCGCACGCCTCTGCGTAACCTGGCGTACTAGTGCGCAGGCCCTCTTCTGAAAGCTGCACTAGTAGCTCCCTGCCCATTTTCCCTTTGAACCTCAAGTCTTTCACGCGATCGTGGTAGAAGATGTAGATGTAGAGCTCGATCGATCCTCCTCCTGAGCCATTCGATTGAGCGATCTCTCAGAAGCCTTCGTAGTAGCAGCCTGTATTTCTCTTAGCCGCCGTGGACTAACTCTTGTAGGCGTCCACACATGCACATTTGACCGCTCTCCAGACCAGGCGACCACCAAGAAGCATAAGCAACAGCATAAATCATTGTGTTGAGTTTTAAGTCTCCTTCCTCGGGGTTTAGACCCGTTCTGATTTATAAAAACGCAAAACCAAAAGGTCTAAATAGCGACAAGTAAAAGAAAAATAAAGCAAACTAAAGCCAAATAAAAACAAATAGCGACTTGAAAAAACGTCAAAAATTTTGTACAAACTTGTCGAAATTTTTGAAATTTCTTACAAACTTGTGAAAACTCTGACAAACTAGTACAAATCTTTAGAATCTTCCATAAACCGTTAAAAGCTGTCAAAAACTGCAACAGAAATTCAAGCTTTCGAAAAGCTGTAAAAAACCTTTAGAACACAAGTAAAAATTTTTAAAGCCAAATAATGATTTGCAAAAGACAAAAAATGGATGGCCTCCCCTCCTGGTCGGGAGCGAACTGTTACCCTGCTCCCTGCTCCCTCTCCCACCCTTTTTCTTTAACTCTGGCCTCGACCGCGCTTGCACCCTTGCCCTCTACTCCCTCCCATTCCTGTACCCCGAATTTGCCCAGCCTTCCGCAAGGCTCTCTGATGACAAGTATGGACCGTATGGACGGCCTCCCCCACCGGTTGGGAGCGGACTGCACGCCACAACACTGGACCGCTTTATCCGGCACCATAGCCCATGTGTCCGCGTGTCATGTGCCACAGCCCTGGCACGTTGGCCCCCAGGTGGTCCCGATGCCTTAATGCACTCCAAGCCTCACACCCGGCCAACGGTGTATGGTGTGCAAGGACCGATGGGCAGTGGAATCCGTGTGGGTAAGGCGTTTCAAGCTCTGAACTCAAGTCAGGGCTCAATGCAAAGGTGTGCTAGTACCAATGCAGCTTCCGATTGGTAAGGCGTTGTCAATGCACTCGCTTTGCGACGGCTGGATGTTATTATTGTTGCTTATTGTTGCTGTGAGATGTTCCTTGCGAGTAAGGTCCTCCGGTTTGGCCTCGAGCATGTCAGCCTCCTCCTCCGCCGACATGATCGAAGTCCCCTTCGACCCTAGAGCTTTCCATGATTTTGAGAACATAAAAGCTCTCTTGTACATCCTTCTTGCGAAACCTCGCAGCCCTCATTGGTCTATTGAAGCTCCATGCCCAGGAACTTTATCGGGTTATTATTCTCGGAAAGATGACAAACGGGGCTATCCTCGTGAGATAGTCCGCAACCGGCTCAAGGTCCAGCCGAAACAGCTCACGGAGCTAGGCCAAGGAATCAGCTGTAACAGGCACGGAGCCCACCGTGGAGGCCGGATGGTTGCGGTTTGGGGGTCAGCCGGCAGGAAGCGAAGGACGGTGGCCCCTGTCGGCAGGGATTAGCTCAGCGCCCCCAGGAGTCCTCCTCTTCCACTTCTTCTGCCACGTCATGGAGAAATTCCATGACGGAGCGCCAAGGGGCCATTCGGGCGAGGTAAAGCTTCTTGAGCGGACGTCCGCCACCTCAACCACTGAAGGGGCTACGTTCAGGGTAGGGAACGCACCCCGTTTCGATGCATTCGAGCAGGGTCACGCCCTGAGGCTGACCAGCGACCTCCTTCGACATGGAAGCCGCCGGGCACGGCAACGCGCCGCGCCACCGGCCGCGTCGGACCGCGAGGGACTGGCGTGCTGAGATATTTCCCGGAAGAGCCCCCAATTGTGAAGCGCGCTAGCTGGTCTTGCACAGCAGGGGCAAACACAGCGGCACAACTGGTGTTTGCTTCACGAGTCCAAGCGCGCTCAGTCCCTAGGCAGCGCCGCGTCGCGTGACCGACCGCAAGCATGCAACTCAACGAGCTTCACTACCTGAAGTACAGCCGTGCACACTTGGCACGCCTAGTAGCTAGAACAAGGCACTTGAGCCAGAACGTTTCGTTTTGGACAAATATATAAATTAACAACAGCATGCAAATCTACACAAAGGATTCGGCAGAGACTGCACATGTTCCGGACACATGTATGGCAGCTCGCAACATATATACCTATATAATCCTATATACATGTACATGTATATGTATATTATATGTATATGTATATAGGTATATGTATATAGGTATATGTATATAGGTATATGTATATATGTATATGTATATATGTATATATGTATATATGTATATATGTATATATGTATATATGTATATATGTATATATGTATATATGTATATATGTATATATGTATATACGTATATACGTATATATGTATATATGTATATATGTATATATGTATATATGTATATATGTATATATGTATATATGTATATATGTATATATGTATATATGTATATATGTGTATATGTATATATGTGTATATGTATATATGTATATATGTATATATGTATATATGTATATATGTATATATGTATATATGTATATATGTATATATGTATATATGTATATATGTATATATGTATATATGTATATGTGTATATAAGTATATAAGTATATAAGTATATAAGTATATAAGTATATGTATATATATATATATGTATATATGTATATATGCTGGAAAAGGGGGTTGGGGCTGGCGTGGGGTGGGAGTCTTAGCACAGCTGGTGGTTGGGGCTCTGAGTTCCTTATGAGGAGCTGGGCTGGGGCTGAGGGCCCAGGCTGGAGGTGGGGAACTGGGCGGGACCGGGGAGCAGCAGCGGGTTGGAGGGCAGGGGCAGGGGGTAGAGGGGGGAGCTGGCTGGGGCTGGAGGCTGGGGGGGGGAGGGGGCGCTGGGGATGGGCTGGGAGCTGGCTGGGTCGGCAGGGGCTGGGGGCTGGGAGCTGGCTGGGTCAGGGGGCTGGAGCTAGAGGCTGGAAGCTGAGGGCCAGTATTTAAAATTTTAAAAATCTTTAAAATCTTTAAAATCTGAAAAGCTTGGTTTTCAAAAATTAAAGATTTTAAAGATTTTAAAGATTTTAAAAGCTTTTGAAATCTTTAAAATCTTTAAAATCTGAAAAGCTTGGGTTTTTTAAATTTTAAAGATTTTAAAGATTTTAAAGATTTTTAAAATTTTAAATCGTTAGGTCTGGGCTCCAGGCCACCGACACCTATTTAAAATTTTTAAAAATCTTTAAAATCTGAAAAGCTTGGTTTTCAAAAATTAATGATTTTAAAGATTTTAAAAGCTTTTAAAATCTTTAAAATCTGAAAAGCTTAGGTTTTCTAAATTTTAAAGATTTTAAAGATTTTAAAGATTTTTAAAATTTTAAATCGTTAGGTCTGGGCTCCAGGCCACCGACACCTATTTTCAAATTTTAAAAATCTTTAAAATCTTCAAAATCTTTAAAATCTGAAAAGCTCGGGTT